GTAAAGAAATCTATTCACAAAGTTTCTAAAGATTAATCTCATTTGTATGAAGCTATTACATCATGCTACATAGGTGGCTTAATTTTGTGGAAAGAGAACTGGTAGTCTTTTGTTTAAAACCTCTTTTACTGTTACTCAATAGTAAGAAATATATTTTATATCATGACTCAATAATATGTAGCATATGTAGTTGTATGTGTCTTCATTGATGAATGGATAGGGGTGGGGGGGAGAGGGAGAGAGATACTGATATATTATTGAAAAAACTTCATGAAACAACTACATGCAGTGCACTCAGATATTTTCCTCTAAGTCTAATCTAATGTATTCTGTTTTGATTTAGTTTAGTATTTACACACTGCTGGCCATATTCCACTAAAATGACTTGAAAACATTGGGTCATAATGTGAAAAATAATGCTATAGAAGACATCCTTTGCAGATGCAGCTCTGCCAGTACTTCTCCATTTGACCTGTGAACTTAATTTTCACTAGGTGGTCATGGACTTTTTTTAGTATTAACATTTCATGAGTCTATCAGTTGTACTATCTAAAGGATATCACCAAACTGCTGACATTTTTAGTTGGCCAGGGACATACACTTTCTTTGATCCAAGTATGCTCAACAACTCTCCTCAGCAAACAAGATGTGTCAAATCAAAAGTAGAAAACCAGACATTTTCTCTTTGCAGTGGAGATATATCTTCAGGAAGGGGTTGGGCATTGTGTTTTGGAGCATTTCCAAAGCAGATAAAAAGGGCATGTAATGGATGCCAGTTAAATACTTTGGGAGGATTCTTAGGTGTAAAAGATTAATTTGTACTCAAGCTACCCGAATTATTTCCCAAGTAGTTATAAAAGCTTATGAGAAACATATGTTATCTTCCAATTTGTCCTTTTTGTTTTGTTTTTTGCCCTTCAATAAGTCATACAATGTTGTATATTGGAATGTTGAAACTAGCACTTTAAATTATAAAGTTGTTATTGGATAACTTGGGGGCATTGGGCTGACTTGGGGGAGGGATTTGTAGAAGTAATTTTTGTAGGCTCTTTTCCCAACCCATAAATGATAGCTTCGTTTAACCAACTTCTTGGAATGAACAGTAATTTTGGAGAGTTTATATCCAATATTTACCTCATTTGAACTATAACAAGAAACATTGAATTGAAAATAAGCAAAGAAAACACTGAGCTACGTTAATTCCAACTCAGAACTCATTTTTTCCCGCAGTCAAAAAGAATTTTCAGTTTGTTAATCTAAAAATCTTTCATTTTTAATATAACTTTGGCTTCGTGAAGAGTGTCTAAACAGAGGAAAAACATATTTTGAGAAACTTATCTTAGACTTAACTCAATTTCATAGGCATTTTAATGACTATCCTTAAAGTCACTGTAAGAGATGATGTTGAAAAATCTTTAAAATCTTCTAAGAAATGAGTATTCAAAGAAAAGGTTTTAGAAATAATTTTTAGAAATTTGATAGGAGTGAAAAATCAAAGAAAGGCATCTGAGCATTTTGCTTGATGGCAAATGTGAAGTTTTTTGTTTTTTTGTTTTACACCTGAGAATGATACTAAATAGTGTTATCATGTACTGAACAGTTCTCTCGGAGGGTTGGAGAGCGTCTTTGAGGTTATCTACTATCATTTTCTCCCCAGAGCAGGGATTCTGTGGGTAGCATTTTTGAGATATGACCTCATACTTTTCTAGATGGTATGGGGTACACAAAAGTAAGAGCAATGTCAACAGTGAAGAGACAATAATTACTATGAGATCAGAAGAAGATATTTCTGACTGGGGAAGCAGAGATTCTTCACAATGCAGGTGGCTCAGAAGCAGAATTTACTTAGCAGTGGTGGGTAGAATTTCACTTGGAGAAGGCCTGGCAGGAACAAACAGGGTGTGTTTGAGGTACTAGTGTCTCTTGTTTGCCAGGAGTGTTGCAATCCCTTTTGGCAGAGCATATTTGCAAGATACGTATCAGGCAAAGGTTAGGCCAGCAAATTGTTTTCCGCCGTCCTAATGGAGTTAGACCTCATGAGAGCCAGATTTCGCGGAGATGAGTGGACAAGTGTCTGTGATCCAGAACAAGTTGAATAAATATGCACTGAATGCCAAGTGCTTGTAACTACTTAGGGCACATCTTCATTGAGGATTACATTCACTAGTGTGCTTCAAAATACTGCTAGTAAACATTTGCTTTAAAAGTATGCATGTCTGCATTATCCATATAAAGTTTGGACTTCATATTAGTAAATTTTAAAATTAGAAACCAATGTTTTTCTTGTTCCGTATAGACACAGGGAACATGGAGCTGCTCCACCTGTATGGAGATGAAAAGCAGAAGCAGCAGTGGCTTGAGCCTCTTCTCCAAGGGAGCATTACCTCCTGCTTCTGTATGACAGGTAAAGCAGATCACTGTTCTCTCTGCAATCACTCCCCCCGGGGTTATGGATGAGCTGAAGAATGTGGGATGTGGCTCTGTGTTTCGGGTAAATTTGCCCGTGATCAGAAAGGTGAATATACAGTTTTAAATTTGGAAATTTAGAACTGTGCAGAATAAAATTACCCTCCCCTTAGGTAGGACACCAGATGATGTTTTCTGGTAGTTTATAGGCAGAAACAGCAGAGAAAACCTAGTTTCATAATCTTTTGACTTGCATTTCTAAAATTACCACTTATGGATATTTAAGATCTTTTTTGCCCTTGTGAATGGAATATTCCTCTTTGTGATAATTTTATATTGACACTTACAAAATACGTTACTCTGCATAAACCTGGAAAAATAGAACTTTCACCAATGCTGGTCAGATAGCTCAATTTATAATCATGTGGGGGAAATAAAGCTAGAAGCATGTTAATAAAAATAGTTTGGTACTCTTTGTACATAGGAAACAGTAATTAAGAACTCCTAAAGGGACAAAAACATTATCATAATTGAGTTTAGAATTAAACTAAACTTCATCTGGTCATAATTTTGGCCAGATTTTTTTGTCTTCTATAACATTGCATACATTTATAATAGCAACACCGATCTCCATTTAAATCAATAAGAGGCATTTATTGAATACCTGCAGTATGATGCGTTAGCTACAAAGCACTAATTTGAGGTTACAAAATAAGTAGAGGACACAGCCCCATTTCTAAAGGAGCTGAGTCTCTAATTTTAGAAACAGAACATGTGAACTATCTGAAGGACCCATTTAAAAGAGCATGTATTGCCAAGTACAGATTACTGTGAGAGCTGGCCTGTAAATTCTGAAATGCCATGCAGTAAAGCAGCCTTATAAGAGTTTCATGGTAAACTTTCTGCAAACAGTATGTGTTGAGCAGGCTTTAGAGAATGCAAAATAAATAAGTCAGTGAAAGCATTCCTGATGTCAACAGTAAAGAAACAATAATTACTGTAAGATCAGAAGGAGATATTTCTGACTGGGGAAGCAGAGATTCTTCACAATGCAGGTGGCTCAGAAGCAGAATTCACTTAGAAATGATGGGTAGAATTTCCCCTGGAGAAGGCCTGGAAGGAACAAACAGGGTGTGTTTGAGGTACTGGTGTCTCTTGTTTGCCAGGAGTGTTGCAATCACTTTTGGCAGAGCATATTTGCAAGATATGTACCAGGCAAAGGTGGAATTTGCAAGGCATAGTTAGAAATTGTTTAAGATAGTAAACTGCATGGTAAGGAAATCTGGCTTGCAAATATTTAGTACAGACTTCCGTCGTGGGAAGAACAATGCTTTTAATCTACTTCTGATGACTGGAAAAAGAATTGAGTTTTACCTAAAATCATGTATCAATGAGGAAGCCAAGAACACAATTCAGATTGCAAATCCCCACTGTCCTAAATACTTCATTCATTCATTCCTTCTCCAATGCACGGGTACTGAATACCTGTTCTTTGTAGGTTAGGGGAGAACCAGGGTGGCATGGGGGAAGGATAGGAAGATGAAAAAGATAAAGATGCTCTCTGTCCTCGGAGAGTTCACTTTTCCTTATCTAACTCCTTTTGGTAAACCAATGGTATCTGCCTTCCTGTAAATTTCGCCTTTACTTATTTATAGAGCCAGATGTAGCATCCAGCGATGCTACAAATATTGAATGCAGCATCCAACGAGATGGAGACAGCTATGTAGTCAATGGCAAGAAATGGTGGAGCAGTGGTGAGTATTCAGATTGACCCTTTGTGCTCAATGCTGTGCTAAAAGAATTTGAACATAGTTATTGGTTTTCTGATCACAGTTCTTTAATTCTGCCTTAGCATTTTCAAATTTAGAAATAGTTGATAAAAAAAGTAAATTTAAAATAACATCTCAATTAGGTGATGCTTCTTTTAACCCCTTCCCCGGCAGAAACGTGTATACACGTTTTCACAAAATGTTCTTTTTTCAGTCGTCGACGAGTATACTCGGCTAAAAACTTTACCTTCAAAAACCAGCTACATACGTACCATTCTAAATAATTTCATCTAGAAACTTCCTGAGGAAATACTATTCTTAACCACAAAAATGGGAAGAAAAAATAATTACAAACTGTTTTCATAACCAGCATCAAAAATACTATATAGAACCAAAATAAAAAAATTAGTCTGAAAAAGAAACGTTTTTAACAAAAAAATTATTGGGGAAGGGGTTAAGTGCAGAAAGCATCTTTTTCTTTTATAGTTTGTGAAAAATAACATTCATATTAGTGCACAATATTTTTGACCATTGTAATTTCTACCAAAATTAAATTTTAATAGGGACATATCACGTGGACTATAATCCTATCCTAATATATAAAAAACCAGGGGCCATCATGACCAAAACAACCAGACAGAGACCAAACAGCAGGCTGTGTGGGGCAACCAGGCTGGCGGGGAGGGAGAAGGAGGGCAGTTAGGGGCAACCAGCCTGGCAGGCAGAGGCAGTTAGAGGTGATCAGGCTGGCAGGACAGGCAGTTAGGGGCGATCAGGCAGGCAGGCAGGTGAGCAGTTAGGAGCCAGCAGTCCCAGATTGTGAGAAGGATGTCCAACTGCTGGTTTAGGCCTGATCCTGGCAGTCGGACATCCCCCGAAGGGACCTGGATTAGAGAGGGTGCAGGCTGGGCTAAGGGGACCCCCCACCCCTCCATGCACAAATTTCGTGCACCAGGCCTGTAGTAATTTATATATAATTGTTTTTAAAGAAAAAGTATACTTTATGAAAAATAATTTATTGTGGTACATAGTTTTCATTGCTTAAAAATACAAGTGTTTAAGTAAAAAATAAGAATCTTTACACTTAGAAAAATACATTGTTAATCAACTCTCAGTAATAGACTCACATAAATGGATGAACCCTTTAAAAAGTTATAAAAATAACTGATTATAATAATCAGGTATGATTGTCTGAGGGTCGCTTCTAACATATACATGATAAATCTAACGTAAGTCTAATGGGATAACCAGTTTATTACTAAAGAAAGGTGACATATGGAAGCAAATTATGTGTTTAGAAACTTACCAAGAAGGTATTAAAAGGGCCAGAAATGCTTTTAAAGTATTTTTTGTTGTTGTTGATGGTTATTATGAAATCACTTACAAATTAAGAAACAGGAAAAGAGGGATAGATTATATTTTGCTGTATAGTTAATCAAGGATTAAAATTATGCAGGGAAATCATTCTTATATGATTTAAAATAATTATAAATGCCCCTTAATATAAGCCTCTTTATTAATGTTTTAGATGGTCTAACATAGCAAAATGTTTTTATGACTTATGCCTGTTATTACTATTTTCCAATATTGTTCATTGTTATTTTCTTGTTTTATGCATTGATTATTGTGTTTCCTCTTCTTGGTTTCTACCCTCCCCACTTCTTCACCCCAACCTCTTCTTTGTAATAAGTTCCCACCACAGTGTCTTGAGATTTGAATTTTAGAATAATGCAGATGTTTTAGCTGAGGGCGAAGCATCACTCATGTGTATCGAAGCAAGACACAGAGCAGTTTTACATTTAAATGCTGAATGTACTGGTTGGCTCTGTAGGGACTTCAGAATCAAAAGGAACCTCCTCCACATTTTGTCTTTGTCTTCTCCAGGTCCCATATTTCTTGGCCACTCTCATGACGTAGTTTTTAAAAGAGGATCCCATGAAAACATACAGGACTGGGTTGAGGCAGCTGTGAAAGAGTGCGATGCTCTCTGTGATCTGGATGGCGACATCCATGCGTTTGCTCATGTCGCAGTTGGTGATCAGGGAGTAGATGATGTCTATGGCTTGGCAGAACTTGACAATGTTATAAGGCAGCTGAGTGGCAATGAAAACTATAACCACTGCGAGCAGAACTTTGAGGGGTCGAGATTTTTTAATGTTCGGCATCTTGATGAGTGTCCTTGCCGTGATAGAGTAGCACACTCCCATAATAAGAAAGGGTATCACAAATCCGATGCAGATTTCCAGCATTTGAATCCATGCTTTCAGGGATGTTTTTAGGTGGTATGGAAAGATGGGAACGCACCTAGCCTTGTGATTTACAGTATAAAAAACCAGCTGAGGTATGCTCAGCAAGATGGCAGCCATCCAGACACAGACACAGATGAGCCAGCATGGTTTGCCCACTCCTGAGTGACTCGGGGCTCTAGTTACTGCCCAACATCTGTCTAGGCTGATACAAGCCAAAAACTGCATTCCAGAGACAAAGTTGACTGTGTACAAGGCCGAAGTGACTTTGCACATGATTATCCCTAAAACCCACCCATGAACTGCATTAACTGCCCAAAAAGGCAGAGTGAATAGGAGGAGCAAATCTGCCACTGCCAAATTCAAGATGTACACATCTGTTTTGGTCCTCTGCTTCTTGTAATAGGCATAAATCGCCACTACTGTGGAGTTGCCTGCAACTCCAATGATGAAAGCTATTGTGAAGAAGGCAGGCAGGAAAACTTTTGCAAAATTTCTGACCTCCTCTTTTACACAGACCACTTCATACTGACTGTAGTCATGAGTGCCATTTATTTCACTTTCCTCATAATAGTAATCTGTCGATTCATTGTGCTCCAAAGCCATGGCTGCAATCTAAATGGCAAAAAAGAATACAGGATATTCATTTTAATGTTGCTTGCAAGGAAACTTTTTTCTTAATCTAGCATATACTTTGTTCTCTTACTAAAGAAGAGAAGAGATAACATATATGAGCCTGAATCTACCCTTCTTTGAAATCCTTTAATGGAAGCCACATTTGGAGTATATCCCCAAGACTAGTTTTCATCCACAGGCACACCCCATGCTACAGCACACGTACTCATTCTGCTCTTTTATCTCATGGACTATTTCCTGCCCTTCCCTTGGAGGGCCAATTCCTGCTCATTTAACTTGGATGTTACCTCCCCAGAAGACTTTCCTGATCCAGAAGCTACATAGACATATCTCTCAAAAAACTGACCCCATCCTATGGAAAAGATGTGCCTCCCAACTACATTTTCCCTCTATGTCCTAAGTTCCCTATGATGGTAATTAATACCTTATAAAGTGTGTGGCACACAATAGTTGCTCAGTAAATATCTGTCAAATAGATGTTTTACCAGCAGATATAAAGCTGTTATTCTCCTGCCTCACCTCTGTTATTTTACTATTTTGGCTATTAATACCCAGCAATAGTAAGATAAACTTACACGGAATTCACAAGCTTTAAAATGTATTTAATAATGTCTTTCAAGGTTTTTATTAGAGTGCTGAGTTTTGTTTTGCTTTTTTCTTACCCTGTCTGTCTCCCTTTGGTTAGTTTTGTCCTTAGAATCCAAAATATTCTTATAGAATCATGAATGAAAACCTTACTTTCAGAAAAGTGTGATAACTTATGGTACATTTTCAAAAGAATGTTCTTATACTTGCTACCTTTTTGGGGTGAGTAAAACAAAGTAAAGAAGGCCCCCTGAGGACAGCTACCACATAAAAGAACTACTTTTAACAACTTAAAATGATTAATTTTATTTTTACTGTTTTTAAAAAGTTCCAATCTGGAAGATTAGTTTTCATTAATTATTAACACAATGTGAACTTTGTTATTTCCTTCTCTTTTATCACAGAAATCTTGAACCTGATAAGGAACAGTGTGGTCAAATAATATAAGATATTAAGGAAGGTTATTTTAAAATAAGAATTAATCTTATTAAAAATGTGCATAAATAGGAGTAGGAATGAAAATTATTTCCAAAAACGATCCTCTGGCAATAGCATAGAAACATATTTGGATAGCTCTGTAATTATTACAGGAACAAAAAAATTAGCGTTTGTAAAACAAAGCAAAAATAATGGTATAGCAAAACCTGTTTCTCATTAATAAAATTTTATAGGCAATAATGGTATTAAAATAATGCATATTTTCTTCTTGCTATATTTAAGTTTAAAAAATATAACTTTTCAAATAGCTCTTTTTTTTGCACATAAATGTTTAGACTTCTATGCATCAACACTCCTTCTACATAAGTAAATATAAAACATTTTTGAGCTTTCAAAAAAAAAATCATATCCAAGTCAGAATGAGAAAAGAAAAACCAACCTGTTTCAGTGTGCAGAAAGAGAGCAGCAGTCTTGAATGCAGTGCGGAGTGAAATCAAATGACCTTGCTAACTGGGGCTACTTTTGTTTTCACTTTATACCCCGCCTTTATCTTGCATCCAAGAGGGCTTTCCTGAAATTTAACCTCCTGAGCACTTGATCTTTATTTCATGTATAACCATCCTGTGAAACCAAATCCAAGTTCTTAAGTGTCCTACGACACAAACCTGGAAGAATTTCAGCTTGTTTCAACAACTACAGACCTTTCAAAGTTTCCACTTAGCTGAAGGCAACCAGAAAGTGCCTGTGGCTTAGGAACTGGCTGCCAAGTCAAAAGAACTCACCCAAGAGCATCCAGGCAGCTAAGGAGCACTGTGGGTAGCATCAGAGAAATGCTCTCTAAAGTTACCTTGTCTAGGAAAGAAAACAAATTGTTTTTCACCCAGAAAATTATCTGTTTGAAGACTAAATTAGAAGTAATCGTTAGGCATATCTAGGAGTTAATATTTTTGTGCCACATTAGTATTTTCCTTAAGCTGCGAGACTCGTCTTTGCTTCACAGTTCCTCTATCCTTGATCCCAAAGTATGCCTTTCCCCATGACCTTAAACTCTTTTGCCTTCTTGTAACCTTTTTCTTTAAAGACCGGCATCCCCTCCTATGTCTTAGTCAGTTGTTTATTTTTCTGATTCCAAACAAATGAAAATTAGAGAAAGAAATGTATGCAGATTTAGCCTTTCTGGTTTACTCCAAGTTGACTCTCCTCATATTTACATAACAGTTCTCTTGTTTATTACATATTCATGCAAGGCTAGGCTTAGTCTCCACCTGCAGAAGTTATTTCAGACCCAGGTCATTTTTTCTCCAAGCAAATCAATTCACAGAAAATAGGGTCTGGGTCATGGGGCCTTTGTCTTCCTTCCCCTCACCGCAGTACACATGTGAGGGTACAGCCGGATTCTTCCCCTGTTCCCCACCCGTCTTTGAGGAAGAGTCACTTGCAGGCAGCTAAACCAGTACTCTAGGGAAAAGATTGCCTGGATTGGTGGTGTTTGTCATCTTTCAGTGCAAATGCTTCTACAATGGCCAATTTTAAGCCACCAGTGTGAAGCCACTGAAAGCAAAATTGCTAAGAGGCTGGCAGAATGGGCTCTCCTGAGCGGGCTCCAGCACACTCCTCCCAAAGAAGGCACCTCTTCTGCTTACCAACCCGATCCTTACTCCAGCCTCTTGCTGCCTTCAGAAGGACACTGCTCTTACTGTCCTCCCTATCCCTGCTCTGGACTCTCTGTTCTTTCCCTTCTCTTAACTCTTGTTCTTCACCTGATATATATGGGGCAGGAGGAAATAATGAGCAACCTTCCTCTAAGTTCTTAAAGTGGCCTACAAAATCCCGCCATCCCGCATTGCCTCTCTGACCTTATTCCATAGGACTTGCCCCTTTGCCTGCTTGTTCTGCCACACACCCCTACTC